AGTCCCAGTTTGAAAAGGTGCCCTTTCAGGTGGCAGTGTCCTGTAAGTAATCCTACCACCCATCTTAGTTGAGCACTATTTAATTTTAACAGGTCCCTTGTTCTTTTGGCAGAGGGTCCTGATATAAATCCTTTTGCCTGTTTGAGTCCACACTGTGACATGTCTTTTCCACTACTGATATCCGCTGTTCAAACAGAGATCTCAGCAAGGCCACTGACTAATATTTGTACAATCTTCCACCCTGAATATGGAGGCAGCAGATTATTCTGAAATGTTGGTACCAACTGCATGTCACATTAACACCATAGGAGGCCATAATCTTAACATAAACATGGCCTCAACTGCCTCTTGGATTTCATATTGTCATCTCCTGTGTTGGGACAGCAGGTAGTCAGGTAGATGCATATCAATGTTTCAGAGAAACATACCGCCTCCATCTTCAGGAAAAAGACATTCTGCTTACACTGTCATATCCCATTAGGCCACAATCTGAAACACTTACTGTTGTGAGAACCTCGGATCTGACCATGAGCATTGCTTCACAAGTCACAGAGATGTGACGTCCGGCCACTTCTCACCTTTCACAAAGATGTCATCCCTAACAGCATTCACGAGGTGCACAGCCCCATCATCTCCAATGTCAGTGTTGTGGTTAAGAGTCACTCTGCGCAGACCGGGCAGGGAATCCACATCTGGATCACAGCCACGCAGAGTCTGTTTCCAGGTCTCACTGTACCGCTGGATCTTTTGGTACTGCAAGCAGTAGGTCATATCAACTACTGTGGTCACATTTATTTTCTGTAATCTTAGTGAGAGCACTAGCCCCAGCTGAGATGCAATTCCAGGACCAGCTACACATCAGCAACGAACCTGTATGCGCACAACCAACTGGAAATTGAAACTGTCTGGTTTGATGTCAAACAGGTCTCTGTCTGTGGGGGAATAACTGCCTGCTCATACTGGCGATCTTGATGATGGGTGTGTTTAGGGGTACAACAGCATCTTTGTCGATCTACACCTACTCAGAAGCTAAAAACTTATACAAATTGGACTTACAAAAGATGCAGTGTAGCACTAATTGAGTTGTAAAAGAACATGAACTGAGGTTCGAACATTTCTCTGGACATAAAACTACAAAACAGCACTGACAAAATGAGGTACTATATGTACATTTATATTTTCATATATAGAAAAACAGCTCAGTGCCTATGTAGCATGTAAAGACACTGATTATTAAAGAGGTCAGTCAGTCACATTATACTGACTGTGAGCCCACTGCTCTTAGAACACACTACCTCACTGCCAGATAAAATATTTTTAAGAGTATGAAGAGTACTATCGTCTGGGATGTAACGCCATGTAGTCTGGTAGAAGTTTACAAACAATTTAATGGGACATGCTGCCCTTATCTTCAGGGTTGAAGAATAAGCCCTGCGGACTGCTTGCTGCTTATTGTTTTGCTTGACCTACTCCTGAGAACTCAAGAAGTAAGCAGCATGTTCTTAAAAACTGTAAAATTCTACCAGACTAGATGGCATCACATCCCAGATGATAGTAGTTTCAGAGTCACTGCCATGAGAACCTGAAAACTCAAAATAACATTAAAATCACAATCAACTGCTACATGTTTTGGCCTCATTTCGCCATCGTCAGGCAACTGTTACTTTTTGAAACCACAACACTGCACTACTTCTTAAATCAAAATATTTCAGTGCCATTGCATATTTGTCTCTCACTTTCGTGACATACACTTCACTAACTGGAACATACATACTAAGGGGCACATGGAAATAGCAATGTTCACTGGGCTAAATAAAATAACACAAAAACACGGACGCCACAAGAGGAAAATAGCACTGGAAAGGATAAAGAGTTATGTTCTCAAACAAATATATTTTAGTGTGAATGATGAAATATGCAATAGCACTGGAAGATATTTAAATTAAAGAGCGACTGTGAACAGAGATTCATTAAAGATGGAAGTGAATGTGTAGGGCAGTACATCAGTGTAGCAGGATGCAGAAATACAATATTCAAAATAGCGCTCTTTTCTCCCTATCTTACTTTCTATCAAAGATTTTTATTGAAGTACAAGAGAAACAGTTTTACTGGACATTATCCATCATCCTGTTTTTATTTACCCCCCAATGTTTAGGAGGCTGGATTTTGTTTCCATCTTCAGGTGGAATCTACTCAGTTGGGCGCAACTGAAGGAGCTAGTCCCTAGTCCCTGGCTTTAAGAATAGTTTTGCTGTCACTCAACAGAGGGAGCACAAACTGCTATGAAGAATGAGAGGAATGGAAGGAGCTAAAAACTTGGCTCGGTCTGGAAAGCGACTGATATACAGGGCACAGTGGCAACTGCAAACAAGGAGCCCACCTTCAACATTTCTGCCACCGCCATTGCACCTCGGGCTGTGATTCCACAGCCAGAAAGATCAACACACTTTATGTTGGTCAGTCCCTTAATGGCGCGGCAAATCAGCCGACAGCCCTCATCCCTAATTGGGCTGCGGTGCAATGAGACATTCTGAAGCGGACGACAACTCTTGATACCCTGCAAACAACACAAGTTTTACTGAAACCACAAAAAGGTGTGAATCGCAACATTCTCATAGCTGGGATCTCCTCTGGATCCAGGGAAGCTTCCAGCACACCACTGTCCAAAGAACCAGATGAACACAGACCACAGTTTCATGGGCCATGCTGACATTACCCTTCTATCTATTGCTTGGTTTCCCAAGTGTTCTCTTCCTTTCAAGTTTTCCAGCTAAATACTGTACGCATTTCTCATCTTGCCCACGCATGCATGCTACATGTACCATCCATCTCGCCCTCCTTCAGTTGATCATCCTAATAGCATCTGCTGAATGACACAATCACAGATCCCCACCAACACTAAAGTCGCAACATTCGCCTCAGACACCTTCACTGCATGTTCCTCCTTCGTGCGGAACAAAGTTTCACATTTCATATTAGTACTGACGTTCTAATGTTTACATCTGCACAAATTGATAAATAAACCAACATTAAGAAACTGAGTAAAACCATGAAGTACATCAATTCAAAGGAACTCACCTGTATGAAGTTACACAGGAGGTCTGATCCCAGGGGCAAGGCCTCAAGTTCCACAGAGGTGAGCGCCTCAGTGTGGTTCATACATGTTTGAATTGCCTTCATGAGTGGTAAGAGAACACGGCGTGTCTGCAGCGATGGCACTCGTTCCACTGTACCAGCTCTAGGTTCCACTGCTGCGGATTAAACACGCTTACATCGAACTGCATTCACTTTAATTGACTTCCAGTTGTATCGGCTAAGGAGCCAGCAGAACTGCAATATGCCCATTCCACCATACATCATAGGGCTTCAGCAGACAACACTAGGCTCAAAACAACCAAGTAAGATTTTGATAAGCCAATGCTATTGTGAAATGCTAGGACCAGAGTACAGTAGACCCTCATTAATCTGGTAATAATTAATCCAGACTGAAATATGAAATACTGAAAGGCTGAAATACTTTAAAAGGCACATGTTATTCAGGAAGACAGATGAGTCACTTGTCTGTTCAGATGAAACTTGACAGTTTCTTCAAACCTGCATTATCGTGTTCAAAAACAAGTACAACTTCTGAGTTTTCCATTGATGTGTAAATGTATTGTCTTTTTATTGTTTTAAATAAAGACTCCACAGTGATATTTCTTTATTTACTTTCATCAGCACTACTTATATCATTAGATTTTTTTGTCTTTTAGGGCTACATTTTGCTTCGCTAATCAAGATTATCACTTAAACTGGATGACCTCTCCCCACAGTTACTCATGATTAGCAAGGGCTTACTGTAATGCCAACATGAAAGGGGTGGAAATGATGTAATCATGAGCTTGAATGCCTGCTTGTACTTAGGAAACATAACTTCCTCACTCTGCAACCAGCCAACTGCCAGATAACACATGAAGTTCCAAACTTTAGCAGGGTATGTGATACCGTGCTGCCTCATCAGTGACACTGCAGACCTCAGGCGGTGAAACAATGACTAGAAGGGGAAAATTGAAGGAGCTCAGAGAGGCACCTGCCCCAGTTCCACTTCCTCAACCACAGACCTCACATGATGTCACCCCAGACTGAACCCAGACCTAACCAGTCAGAAGCCAGTATCTAACCACCTGAGCTATGGTATGACCTTTATAATTTGTATTCTTGATCTAACTTTTTGTGTGATTATACGAAGTTGGTCAAGATGAATAGCATGCAAGAGCAATGCAAGAAATGCACATACAGTTTTGGTAGGAGAAGCCAACTTGTGATATCCAAGTGCAGATACAATAAAAACTTATAATGGCAAATAAGTTTTTGAAGATGTGAACTGGATTGAACTAAGTTATCAGCAGCACAACTTTGTGACCACTATGATGAACCTTTGAGTTCTGAGTCAACAGCATTCAGAGAGAAGGAATTGGAACAGAAATGCAATTGTTTCTGGTGAAACGTGTGACTTGAGCAATGCATCTATATCAAGCCTTGGGCATTAACTCACTGGTAACAACCAAAAGAACTTCCTATCCCCACAACCTTCTCCCTGAAGACCCATCTTCATGATATCCTCCAAATTTCTGTTTGGTCTTACAAGTCACAACTTCATTAAGGGTCTCTCCACCCAAGCTACATGTCTCACCAATTTGCTAACACAGTCATAATAACGATTCCTTGTAAAAATGTGCTCATTCATTTCATTCGTCTGTGACTCACATACTTTCCTGATCTTCCAAATAATATTCTTCTCTCACACTAAGATATCATGATCATAACTGTACAAAACAACTGGCAAATTTACTGATTTACCTTGATCTTCAGCATGTGACTGAGTTTCTGAATTTAATAAGAACAAGAACATTCTCGATTTAGTCTTCTCTTGCTCAGAATAGTTCCTTTACTTCCAGAAATTGAAGTTATGAAACATTTTCGTTTCTTGGCATATTGATATGTTCAATTTTATCTGCATTAAATCTCAGACCAGCTTTTCTTGTTAACATGCAAAAGCATTTCTGCGGTACTTTTTAAACCAGCGGCTTCCTTTGCCTGATGTCAGAGAACCTGTAGGTTGACCACCATCACCACAAAAGCCTACCATTGCACCCTATACCCATGAATCCAGTCCACACTCTCAGACAAAACTCCTTATGCATTCAACTTGATACAATTCTCTGATCTATGCCATCCCACAAGCAATCCTTTCCTTTAAAATTATCAACCAGAATTCTGTGTCAACTTCATGCCTGCACTATACATGCTCTGTGACTGGCCCATTTAATCTCTTAATTTAATCATCTTAACATTTGATAAACAGTACAAATTCCATTTCTTTCATTCTGGTCTGTCACACTAACAATTACAAAGGCAAAATAACTCCGTTCACTGTGACTAAGTTTCTGCTACTTGAAAACTTAGTACCCTTACTTGTTTTGGTCCTTACAGACCATCTTCAGAGGGAACATCGATACTTATTTGGAAACTACTATCACAGTAGGTGTCCTGAGTGCTAAAATACATGCACACATAATGCCTAGAGTGCACAATATACACAAAATCCAACTTTTTCACATTCACAGCAGCTCTCCTGGTATATTAAAGTTTTTAAAACTTTGTTGTTTAAGTTAAAATTTATAAACCTAGTAGGTTCATCTCCTTTCTCCTGTCGTCTTTCTTGACTGGGGCTGAACTTGTGCCGCCACGAAGAAACACAGGACGATACCAAGAATCTCCTTCTCAAGATAGACAGGTGGCACAAGTTCAGCCCCAATCAAGAAAGACGACAGGAGAAAGGAGATGAACCTACTAGGTTTATAAATTTTAACTTAAACAACAAAGTTTTAAAAACTTTAATATACCAGGAGAGCTGCTGTGAATGAGAACAAGTTGGATTTTGTGTATATTGTGCACTCTAGGCATTATGTGTGCATGTATTTTAGCACTCAGAACACCCATTGTGATAGTAGTTTCAAAATAAGTATCAATGTTTCCTCTGAAGATGGTCCGTACGCACCAAAACATGTAAGGATACTACATTTTCAAGTAGTAAAAATTTAAACAATCACACTGGTCAGAGTTATTTTGTCTTACTACAAATTCCATAGCTCCTAGTGAGGCAGTTCTCTATTCTTCTGTTACTTCCCATCCCTGAATTTCAAATACATCAGCCCATTCGCAGGTACCCTCAATCTCTATTTTCTTCCCCCCCAAGGTGGAAGGCCAAGTTTAACATATATACTGAAAAAAAGAAACAATTTCTTTGTATACTTCAAAGCTTAGGCCATGGGAAGTTAGGAGGAGGCTTTGCAAAGAGAATGCATTTGCAAGGGTGAAATTATTCAAGTTGAGTACTGGAAGTACCAATCTTTGCAGCACCTTTGCTGCGAACGCCAATGAACTGCAGGCTCCTGTCCTGGCTAAGTGCATGAAGAATCGGTCCCCACTCCCTGTATGCGAGCCTGTCTCCACTTAGACACAGCACACTCTTCTTCCGATGCGCCATCACGGCAGGGAGCGGCATCACATTCTGCACCTTACACACCTCCTCATAGCACAGATGGAACTTGTTCGCATTCTTTTTACGTTCCTTTACGGATGGTAGCATCTTGCTAATCTCAGACGCAGAATAAGGCAATTAGTATATTAACACGATTCACTCATTCATGAGATACTGACAGTCACTCACTGTTTAGAATCCAAAGGTTCATTTACATGTTCAAATGATGGAGTCTTTTATTATTATACCCTACCCAGATGAATTCAATTCACACTAGTCTCTGGCCCCAAAATCAATTTCAATATTATCCTCTAGTAAACAATTGTATTCATGCTAAATCACGATCATGACCATCATGACAACTGACGATTATGAAACAAAAAATTAGCTTCGTAACATGCGACTGATGCTCATCGATCAGTAAACATGTAAATATAAATTGGATCGATTTTTGAACAGTTGATGAGACAACTTTTACGTTCATATGTCACTACATATATATGTGTATATTACGTTATGTAACGTTCTACTAACACGCACGAATAGTAAAAATTCAACGCACCATACTAACGATACTGACCATACTGACCATACTGACAATCGACAAAACCCAACTCAGTTGTTCCGCCGTGCTAGCCTTCGGCCGTCTTCGCCGGTCTCCGCCGTTATACACTTTTTTTTTATCCAGTTTGATAAATTCAAATCATGGCCGCTAGATGTCGCATGCCTGCACCCCTTGCACCTACTGCGCCTACTGCTGAGGTCTCTTGACTCATGATCCTCTTGATGCTCTTGATGTCTCTGATTGGGTCACACTTCTGCGATTCGATTAATTGCTGTAGGCGTATTATGATCGATTCCAAACATTTCCGAACTCTCTTGTTCATGTAGGATGGAAGTTCTGCATGGTTCCCCTTCGCCCAAACCCAGTTTCTTACGGCAGATCTCTTGATCTTCTTACAAACTCAGAATTTCTCTACCACAGTGGATTAAGTTACACCGGGTAAAGTCCTATTCGAGAAGCTTTTAATTGCAAGAAGAAGAAAAAACATCTTTTTCAAATCCAAGGTTCTTTATGGCGTTCAAAATAGCATCCAACTACCTCTAAGCTAGAGAAATCTACTTCACCCAGTGCATTTTTATAAGTCACATCTTCTACAATTGATGGATATCAGTGTCACCAACGTGGTTACATTTCAGTTCTTTTGAATAGCATCCGTCGTGAGTGTAAAGTCCCTTTCCTTAATTAATTTAGCATTGTGCCATGACGACGTGGGGAATGAAGATATAGCTCCACCATCCTTCACCGTCGCACAAAATGGAGGAGAGTGGTTAGCTTCACGCCACGGCCGTCATGGCTCTTTTTCTGGAAAACTGAAAAGTACTGTGGAACTTCGTTGTTCCCAGGGCGAAATTCAATGTCGGTCTGTATTATTCGTTCGAAATCAAATAATATCACTAAAGTTTTCCATGGAATAACGCGGTTTAATGTGAAGCGCCATTGTGGTCAAAGGTTAGAAGGCGGCGAGGGCCATACATGCATACAAACTAACACGACACCACGTGTCGCAACGTGAAAGTAATACGCTCCTAGCGAACAGATTTTGGTTAAATATATCTCCCGTACATGTTACTTGAAATCGCTGCACATACCTAAGAATAGATTTAACCAAAATCTGTTCGCTAGGAGCGTTTTACTTTCACTTCACGTTGCGACACGTGGTGTCGTGTTAGTAAGATCCATTGAATATCCCTCACCCATCTATTCTTAGGTATGTGCAGCGTGAGATACTTTGTAAGGATGAGAACAAGATAAAATTAGCAGCTCAAAAATAAGTTCGAAAAATCGTCAAGAAATCAGTGCCACAGTGTAGGTCTAACAAAATGTAAATAGCAGCAAACCAATAATATCAGATCCAAATGACACCCTTAGTGAAATACAAAAAGGAATAAATCTATCATATTCTTGTTATCCAGGTAAGAAAATCATGCTCCCGTGTACGTTGCAAATCATTGAACACTAAGATGCATGACACAAAATCTTCCAGTTATGAGCACTGACTGCGGAGAGCTGACATGGGACTACATGAAAACCTTTTGTTGCTAATTTTGAATGCGCCGAACGTAACAAGATGTATCGCCGTGCCTTAGGTTCTGATTCACGCAGATGTGTGGAGCCCCGCGAGGCATCAAGGTTGCGCTGCTTGACCTTCAAGGTCATGTCGAACGGCAAGCTGTATTTCACTGTTTTCCCATGTTACAAAAGATGGTACAACATGCCTACTACGACAATGTAATGTGTTCTGGGAGCATTGATACGCTTTTGTGGTGACACTGATGAACATTTAATTATTCGTGTGGTATTGACGGCAGTCTCAGGCTTAAATGTCTACCCGGAGATCGGCTATCCTGAGATTACTCGTGATTTTTCTCAGCTCCTCCAGGCAAATGCTAGGATAGTACCCTAAAATAAAACGGTCTCCCACTTCATTAATCGCCATCATCCAATCGTTAAACGTTATATCGCTTAACTTGCTGCTATCGTCATTAAATAAACGGTAAATAAAAAAAATATTGATCAGCAACTATTTGTGGACCCGCCTGCAGTCGCGGGCCGACTGACATGACCTTGCATTCCCACGCGGCCAGTAATGCCCATACAGGAAGGCACGCGGCTGCCAAAGCACAGGTTGTGTCGAGACTTGTAAATGCGTCTGGGGAAAGGTGCACGTCCAATTACACCCCTGATTTCAACCGTCGCTTTTAAACTCCACGATTACTGCAGAGTGCAAAGTACCGTATTTACGCATGTATAGGCCGCACATTTTTTGCCAAAAATTCAAGAGGAAAACTAGGGTATGGCTCATATTCGAAATCACACTTCATTTAAAAAAAATTATATTCATAATTAGTAATACAGGGTGTAATACTCCTGAAATAATATTCCAAGAAAATTATTTTTTCTATAATTTCTGTCTGAAAATTGTGCTGCGGCCTATACACGCACGCGGCCTGTACATGCGTAAATACGGTAATCTGATAACTTAGCTTGATTAACTTCACCTGCAGAAGCACGGACTTTAACTTCAATGGAGGAAGGGGCGCCTGTTCCCATTTCCTTGTCTTATCGGCTCAAGGCCACGCCGATAACCCCATTTGCTTAGGGGATCGCGCATCGACTGGCGCTGAAAGTTTCATATCTCAGTGAGGCCGTGGGTCTATTTGCTAATGTTACACAAATAAACCAATGTTGTATGGTCATTTTCTAAACCACTGTTCTTATATGTTCAAAAGGTCGCTGGTGTTATCGCAAGAGCTCGCTAAGTCCATTTCGCAACTTGTTTCGCCTCCAACCAAAAGCATAGCATGTAAGATTTGAGGCNCAGTCTGCTTTACGGTTTCTCACTGTGTTGTCGCTTGCAGATTTCTTATACTTTTTCTTCTACCCTGAAGATGGGGGCGATACGTTCCTCCGAAACGTCGGTTAACACCACATATACACGGTGCCAAATCCCAGAAGACTGCTTTCTTCAAAAGCATAGCATGTATTCCTTCCGCCAGTGCGTGCTACATGAACAACGTCACGCCCAAGCCACTAGAATCCTCAGGATTTTCGTAATCTCCTTCAGGCAAATGTCATGACAACTTTGAAATGAGCTCCGGGCCCTTCCTTCCATATCATCGCAATATTCGACGTTACATGAGCATTATGTCTGATAGATCGTTGCTAAATTACTTGAAAATTGTGACTCAGTGAACTGAATGGGTTCGATTCCCCACAAAGGGCAAGTACTTGTTTTGTTCACGACAGCATTTGGACCGGCCCTGGGGCTGAAACGATCGGAGGGTGAAGCTGACTAGTCAACTCTTTGCAGTACCAAGATCTCGTATACGCAGGCGCTTCAGCTGTGTTGTGCTTGAGCAAAGGGCACCTCAACCTCTTGTTCTGCAGGAAATACTCTCCGCTCCAATTCTACATTTGCACAGATACAGGAAACGGCAATGGGCGGAAGCGGTTAATCGCAGCCGTCCTGGCCATAGGGAACATCACGAAAGCTTCCCTGTTTGATATGATGTTATTACCCTTTGAGCTGTATTTCCGGGAATCTGGAGCGATTTCCATAAGACTCTTGAGCAAATGCGACCAAGCCCATCAGAATTTAGGGGAATGTAAAGTTTACAGCGTGACTTAAAGGAACAGGAAAATCGAATCTTTCTCTTCGCCTGTGTGTTTGATCTCCGAAGCTACTGGCGGGTTGATCACATTTCTCGAGGGTTGCGCACGTTACAGCGTCACTCTGGTTCGTATGGGATCTCATGAAAATATACACTGCCTAACGAAATGAGATTATAATAACAATGACCACGCCGTACAGTGACGATTGCTGGAAGAACAATGACCCTATTACATGCGATGCACACCTTTCCCTTTTGTTACGGTGGGTGCACTGACTCCACGGAGTAGCTCACTTAAGTAGTCCCGTCCATTACGGCGTTCACAACAGCCACCCCGAGGGTCTGTCTGACGTGCAAATTTCTTTATAAGACGAATTGTTAATCCCCAGCCCAACTCTCCAGTTGGAGGACATCCCCTTATCGGCTGGGCAGAGTAGAATCAGTTTTGTCATTTGAATATTGCGCGTAATCATTCAACTTTTAGGCCGATGGCAGACCAAGGAAGCTGGCAACCGCAATTTCCGAGAAATGTCACCGATTTCAAGCAGGCAAGTGGTTTCCAGCTTAGCAGGCGCAAACTAAGGAAACTTATGCTGGAGCAGTTGCTCACATTAACTTACGTGGGTATGTTCGTCTGACGTAATGAATGACTGTATTTTTTAATTTCGTGCAATTACCTTCTGCAATATTGATCCTGTCATAATATGGTGGTAGTTGAGATTGGTTGAGAAGGCGTGAGAAGAGAGGACGACGACCATAGCGAAAATACTGGGATGTTAATTAATTTGTTTTAATTAAGGTCAATTTATTTTCCATCAGGAAATATCGTGTTCACACGCGATACGAAATTTTGGTACAAAGTGCAACAATTTTAGCAATATAGAAATACCTGATGATGGCCGTATACAAGCCGAACCATGAATTGTGGAAGAAGGGTCACTATATAATAAGTTGTTTTTAAGACAGGTGCATATATAAAGTAAATGATATAATAATGTAGCAGGATGTTTAAATACATTAGGGAAAGAAAACATTGGGTGCATCCTTTCTTCTGTGACAATTTATACTGACGCGATTATATTGTTTCGAAAGAACTTAATCTGGATCCAGACTCCGTCTCATGAGATAATTCTTTACCAAGCCAAATATATTTTGTTCTGCCTAGCATAGTCTGAGTGGCGTTTCCCGTATATACCAGGCTCTTATTCTATTAGCTGCACAAAAACAAAATTAGCAGCTTCGTCAAACTTTCGTGCCACCTTTGGAAGCAAATGAAACACTGAAGCGCGTTATAGAACAGCTGACACTAGGAAACCACGCGGCAACGCAATTATGAGAAGAATGGCATTTTTTCTGTACCCCATAAAAATACTGGTATACTACTGCGATTAGGACACGGCCGCTCCCTTTCAGATCATCAATTATAATTGATGATCTGAAAGGGATAATTATCTACCATTCGATGGCATATAATCTAGACACTGGCAGCTTCGTGAAATTCATTCATTCATTCATTTATCCATCAGTAATCTGTCAGACGACAGGTCCACAGTCTCTTCCAAGACAGTTCCTCCACTTAATGCAATCTCAAGCTTTCTCCTTCAAATAAAAATATCCTCTTCTGTCCCCAAGATCATCCAGCATCTTCTTACGTCTTCTTCCTCGTCTTCTGGTCACTTCTATCCGCCCCTCCGGTTTGTTTTGTCTCTAGAGAAAACATCTCGCATACATGGTATCTCTGTTTTTGGAAAGAGACTATCCAGGAAAAGTGATAATGTGGTAGTTTTTCCATTTGCTTTCCACATCGCAGTACAACAGCCGTTCAAACCACTCTGGTCACGCCTGTTGCTATACGAACTTGAACCATCTCGAGCATCATTTGCTCTGTGCTTCAAGTCGCTACTGATAACGCTGCTTCCGGCATCAGTTTTTGGTTTTTGGTCTCTCTCTTCGTCTGATGCCTACCCTTTGACCTGTCCAGCAAGGGAGGCTCTGCCAGTAGCTACGCTACCGCTAGTATAGCTCTCAGGGTCCTTGGCATACTCAAACCCCCTCACCACGATAAGGTGGAGACACCGGGAGGGGGTTCGTGAAATAACCCACTCCCGAAGGAACAGTTCCATGTCAATTCTTAAGAACATTTTCGTTCAATGGCTACGCCCTGCCTGGCAGGTTCTAACATACATACAGCCTGTACGGATAAAATACGGGGCATCTGTAACGTTGAGACGGGCTGTATCCACTGTCATTCAAAGAATAACTTCCGTGCCTTTTACGTTCACCCCGCCGTGTTAAATAGCTGCGGCGGGATTGTGCGAGAATTGCGAAGTCTGAATGTCGACCTGAAGACCAGCTGCCCTGACCGAGGTGCCTCAAATGGGCCGCGCGATATCTCCAAGCCATGACAATGGACCCGCCGTCACTAAATAACACAGACTGCAGTCTCATTCGAAAGCGAACAGTGACGAGTGGCAGCCGGCAGCACAAGAGCCCAGCACAGATGACAAAGGTACGCAGACGGTTCCATTCGCTTTGCTACCTGACGGAGGTATCCAGAAATCACATGTCTGATAAGGAAGGTACACACCATACTACGTATTTATATTAGGGCATGCCTCAAGCACAAAGCGAGCGTATTACTGGGAGGGCCGTTCCGTCCGTCCTGCCGTTTCACATCGTTAACTACCCAAATGATTTCGACGAAACTTGGTACTCTGCGTCTACAATAGAAAGTTGTTCGAAGAATTCTGATATTGGAGGAACGTACTGGATCAAAGAGAAAGCCAAGCAACCCGCAACCTGCGAAACACCCTGCAGTACACTCGGAGACATCTCAGAATTTCATAATTTGTAACGCTCGGCTATTATTGCCGCGGCGATTAAAGAAGAAAGAATGAGTGGGATTGGCAGCACAAGTAGCACGCCTTGGTAAAAAAATTAATTGGGTAAAAATACTGCTAGGGAAACTTACTTGGGAGACGCCATTTACGACACCGGGTCGTATAATGCAATATACATGAAAATACTGAGGATCCGGTCTAAAGGAGCACATCAACCGTGAGGTGACAAAAACTGATGTCACCCCGGGGGTCGTCACACCTCAGAACGTACAGAAAGAGAACCATTTTTCCCCCTACGCATGTGACCAATGGTGCGGTCGCCGGGAAACTACTCGCGCGTTTCGTTCCTTCGTCCATTCGAGATGAACAGATTACGAAGAAATACAAATACAATTTTGTTCAATTGGACTGGGACATCGATAAATACTGATTAACATATCTAAAACATTTCAAACAGAAGTGTGGCCATTTTGTGCAATGAACATCTTTAACAATATGACTACTGTCCTCGATACGACGGTCCAGTGATCGAGACTAGCTCTATCTACCAGGCCAAACTAAGTAGTAACTATCCTTTGCATCCCGGCCGCGTCATAGCTAAAGCGATTGGTCGCTGGCTTCCCACCGTGGCGGCCAGGGTTCGATCCCGCGTCTGGTCAAGCGGGATTTGTGGTGGACAAAGTGGCTCTGGGGCAGATTTTCTCCGAGTACTTCGGTTTCCCCTGTCAATCTTAATTCCACCAACTGATCCACAATCACTCTCACCTATCATCTGGGGCTGGTATAATAGGCCAGAAGTGGCCGTAGTACAAGGAACTTAGTTCCACCCCATTAGCGTTAAAAAAAATCCTTTACATCTGATGACGAAAACGTAGTGCTGTGCTAGAAAGAACTCCGTAAGATGGACAATGTCCAAAACAGTAGGCATGTTCACTGTGACACATGACAGCGTCAGTAAGGCAACAGCAGAGGTTCAAGTCCCCTTCGATACCATCTGGAGCTTCTCTGCATATTAACGTGGTCTGTCACAGGATAGAAGGTGACGCTGGTTCACGCAGCAGACAGTCGCGATGGTGCGGACCGTACGGACGGTGGTGCTGGTGGTGATGCTCCTGGTGCTGGCGGTGCACGCAGCACCCTGGCTCAACTGGTTCACGCAGGGCACCAACAGGCACAGGCTGGGAGGCCCTGGGCGCTCTGGCAGGGATCGGTTCCGGTCCATCTGCCGAACCATCAACCCGGACAACTACGCGTTTCCCGGAAGAGCTCCCTATCCTTCCGCACCGCTCTGCCCCTACTAGCGTCCGGAGTTTTCAGGTAAGTCCTAAGCGGTTGTTACTGCATGCTCAGTAAATATAGCAACGGCCCACATGGCCGGACATCGATTCCCGGCAGAGGCAACAGATTTTCGTGTTCTCCACAGCGTCCAGATTGGCTCTGGGGCCCACTCAGACTATCCAATGGTTACCCAGGCCCTTCCTCGGGGTAAATCGGCCGGGGCGTGAAGCTGACCCTTCACTTCAAAGTAATGTCAAGGTCAAGAATGGTGGAGCTAAAATTCCTCTCCCCCATGTCTTCATTGTATGGTACTTAAATAATTAAACACAGGGATAACTTTACCTTTATAATCTGAGTTGTCACCATTTGCACCATAAGTTCTGAGATATATCCAAAATTGCCTCATTAGTGCCTGAGTGCCTTCGGGACTAAGAAGATCTAAATGCCCATGTTCATGATGAAAAAATAAACATATACATAGCAAATCACAAGAAGGGATTTATTTTCCAGCTGGCTCATATACAGATGTTGTGTATTGTTAGGATTCAGCACTGTTGCTGGCACGTACCAAGTGGATGCTGAGCTAGTATGTTGTGGTGCAATTTGCAGAGGCCTCAGAACAGTAGGTTCCCTGGTCGAGATTCAAACTGGGTGCTCTCCAAACACAAGTCAGAAGGTCTCTTAACCTGAGATCAAAATGTTGCATGGGTCTGTCCAATGAGTACTACCCATATGCCTTTCAAACCTGGTTGGTCTTCTTCATTTGACTATCATAATAACCAGAGAAGGGTACAAATTATGAAGACCCTCTTTATGCAAATTTTTCCACCCTCAACCACAGAGGCGCATACTCGTATTCTTGTCAGCTGTTCTAAAACATCCTTACTGTCTAAATGGGCTATCAAAATTGTTCTTTCATTTCCAGACAAAGAATCTATCAGAGCATCAGAAGTGTGGTGAATGTGGAATTCAAAAGTGTTGGACCTTGAACAAAGTGACAGATGCAAGCAGAGGTGTCCCAGACAGGGAAACAGGGCTCCTCGAGCTACAGCAGAACTCAACTCACCTGATGCTCTCAGTGTTCTGGATGGTATATTTGCACCAACAACAGTTTGTGAGATGTATAGTGAAACTCATCCATGCTGACCACTTTGTATTTCCATTCAAATGCTGTATAAAATTCATTTCTTGGATATAAACATAACTTCAAAGCCTTTATATAACTCTGTGAGGTTTGAGGTTCTTGAAATGATGACTGTGAAAAATATTATCTTTTGGGATGTGATTGTGTGTACCGCCTCCACCTTCAAGGTTGATTCAAAAGATGGAGGACTCAGATTCTTCTCAAATGTCATTAAATTTCTACCAAACTACACAGCATCACATTCCAAGGACAGAAATCTGGATTATGTAATTCCTTTGAGCTGGGCCAGCTCAGTCGGTATCTTCACACCATGGGCTAGAAGACCACGATTCGGTTCCCAGCAGAGGCATGTGCTTATAAGTCCAGACTGACTCTGGGGTGCACAGAGCTCCCTGTCCAATGGAATATGAGGATTATTTCCTCCGGGGAGAAACAGCTGATCATTCATCTCCACATAGTACTAAGGTTAAGATCAGCCACGCCATAGCTCAAGCGGTTAGTCGCTGGCTTCCCACTGCTTAATTAAGCGCAGTGGTTCTTTATACATCTCTAGTCTCTTTATCATTACCTAAATCACTTCCTCCTGCAGCCACCTCCCCAACACTTTCATGGCAGTCAGACTTGCCTTTTCCAAAAAGTTGAGTCATTTTTTTTCAATGAGTGCAAAGAATATGTGCAGAAGCAACGTTACATGACAGTCAAACACCGGCACATAAACGAACACCAGTGAAGAAAGCAGTCTTCTGGGATTTGGCACCGTGTATATGTGGTGTTAACCGACGTTTCGGAGGAACGTATTGCCCCCATCTTCAGGGTTGAAGAAGTATAGGTAAATCTGCAAGCGACAACACCGTGAGACACGGTCACGGTGTTGTCGCTTGCAGATTTACCTATACTTCTTCAACCCTGAAGATGGGGGCAATACGTTCCTCCGAAACGTCGGTTAACACCACATATACACGGTGCCAAATCCCAGAAGACTGCTTTCTTCATAGTCACCGCAGTGAAAGCCTCAAATCTTACATAATGAACACCAGTGAGGTGATAACAACATATCAATGTAAGCCACACAATCTCCAACAAGAGGAAACTTCAAAGCATTATTATCAGTGTCATGACGAGCCCAAATGCAGTTCAAGACCAGTCACCAGACACGGATACATGCAACAGTTTCTAGCAGCACTGTTTGGTCTCATTTGGATGTAATGAAAACTAAACTCTCACCAGTTCATGACTCAGTTCAACGCTTAACAGACAGATTTTCCTTATTTGTAACAAATCCCTATATGTGAGAATGGTTTTCCTCAGTCCCTCCTTTAAACAGGTTAAAATTGCATAATCTCACTGCACAGCATTGTTAAATAGGTCATCATGCAACCAACGCCACAGTTCAACACACACACCAGTAGTACAATCTGCACAAATTTTTTTTATGAAAACAGTGTTAATTCATAAATGAAATAATATGGCCATCAATAGCTAACTGCATGGTAAAAATTCAATATAAGCCGTACTTGTGTGCAGTTTAACTGTGTCCTCCGGACCATCAACAGTTGGTGTTTAGACACTGGCTCCATTACCAAGCGAGGGGTGTCACTAAGAGAGACACAACAGGCTGCCATTCGTTTACTTTTACAGAAGACAGTGCATTTTGTTATATACACAAAACTGTTAAACATTAAACACAAGGCTCAGTCTTATAAATAATATAAATGCATTTTCCTTACTTAACCTGAGGCCTCAAAAGACTAGTGCACACATATAACAAGGGTTGCAAAGATAATAAGGCGTGTGTATACTACTGAAGCAATCAGACATCTCAGTCCCAGCAATTCCTAAGGCTGCTCTGTTGGGACTGGTAATATCTATGTAAGTACAAAGTGACTGACTGACTGAAGCTTGTTGATTATTAAGTTTCATCAAAATATGTCGAAGTAATCAAGATAACCAAATGTGTATAGGTCCATTTAAGCTCCTTACTGAAGTCTGCCTTAAAAAGTGGACCAAGATCAAAGAAACTTACAAATGGTCATACCCATAAACCAGAAGATTCTCAATGCTATATAGTCTGAATTACTGACAGTGCTCTTAACTAACAGTAAGAGAAGTAGTTACTATAGAATTCTGACGATGGTGTATAACACACTGATATATTGGGTTTTCAGACTTTAACCAGGACGATGGATAAAGTCCAAAAACCCAATATATCAGAGTGACAGAAGTACTGAGTTGCATAAAAATACGTGGTGCAATCCAAAAGTTCCCGAAATTTGAATTTTGATGACGAATGGTTAAGAGTACATCAAAATACCTCTAGGTGTGTCCCCATATACCCTTCTTGAATAAGTGTGGCAAGTGGCGTCGAGTTGAGTGGTTAGGTTTATTGTTGGTGAACGTATTTCCATTGTTGTGTTTCCGTGAGTTTGCGGTTCTGCAATGGCTGACCTGAGAGAGCAGCGTGTCTGTATAAAGTCGCAAAAGTTAGGGATCTGATTCTGCAAGATCGTAGGCTGACCATCCAAGACCTCTGTAACACCTTGGGACTAAGTTATGGTACATGCCAACAAATTTTGTCAGAGGAACTGAACATGAGGAGGATTGTGCCAAAGTATGTGCCACGACTGCTGCAAAATGAACAGAAGCAGCATCGCTTGGAAGTCTGCAGGGAACTTCAGCAACAGCTTCAAGAGGATCCAAACTTTCTTTCAAAGGTTGTCACTGGTGACGAAAGTTGGGTTTATGGCTATGACCCTGAAAGTAAGCAGCAATCGTCGCAATGGAAGAGCCCTTCGTCACATCGGCCAAAGAAGCTCGACAAGTCAAGAGCAACATTAAGTCCATGTTATCTGTTTTTTTATACTGACAGGATTGTTCATAAGGAGTTAGTCCCTCCTGGTCAGACAGTCAATAAAGAGTTCTATCACGATGTTCTAAAGCGTTTGAGGGAGGATATGAGGAGAAAACGTCCAGAGAAGTGGTGCACGAACGACTGGGTACTCCACCATGACAACGCAAGACCGCATATGGTGTACATTGTGCAGGAATTTTTGGCTAAAAACAAGATGGCAGTTGTTCTCCACCCACCGTACTCGCCCAGACTTAGCTCCATGCGACTTCTTTCTCTTCCCCAAGATGAAAATCAAGTTGAAGGGGCAAAGATTTGATACAGTTGAGGAAATTCAAGCGAAAACACAGACAGTACTAAACACCCTAACAGAGAAAGACTTCCAGGATGCATTTGAAAAGTGGCAGAAATGTTGGGATCGGTGTATGCGCTCCCAAGGGGACTACTTTGAAGGTGATGATGCAGAATAAGATCCAGGTACGACATAATAGTTTTTATTAATTTGTATTTCGGGAACTTTTGGACTGTCAAAGAACTAAGAAAATATAAAACTTCATTCAGGGCCTAAGTGACTTTCATAATGAACTAAATTTGAATCAGCTTTGCAAAGCCCACTGTAGGTGTACAACAAGGAGTTTGGACATAACTGGGAATTACTACTGGCGGGCATATGGACAGGCATGACAGATCTAAGCAGTGCTTTTCAAAATCCACCCAAAAGAACATATTCCAAATATACAGGCTGTAAGAATGTAAACAAATTGATGCCCACACCAGAAACAAATTTTTCAAATCTGCAAAGGAAATAAATTCCTGTCTCATGGAATGTGCTCCATAGTTACAATGTCTGTGTCCAGGACATCTGCTCTTCTATCAATGTCAGCTGATTTTACCTGGGCCATATTTACATTATTTTAAATGGCATAAAACTTTGCCATGTTCTGTCATCTGTGAGGCTGACTGCAACTTCTGATATGCACGCAAGCTGTGCAGCTGCCCACTGGCCTGCATCATGCTCATTCATGATGACCTTCTATTTCCAATTGGCAGCATACTCACATAGAAAGATGGCTATGAACCATACCATGAAAATATAGAGGAGACATTACAGGTAAGGCTCCAGACAATCCTAATGTCAACTCTATAAACAGAAATGGGTGATTCATGTCACACCCTGGACATGTCAGTCATCCTGGGATACAATCTGAGCTTGTAACTTTTTCACAGGCAGGTCTCTCTTCTGGGTTCCAGCAGACATTCTCATATCCTCATACAGGTCATGCAGCTTGATAAACAGAAATATACTGCAAAGCTTTCAGTTCAGACTGTAGCCAAAACATGTTTTTATGAACACCCACCATACAACAGGGGCAGTGTTACCATAATGACCTAGAGACACAGCACTACAGCATATGTGGGCACTTGCCTCGCCTCCACGTTATCCCCACAGCATGCAACACCAGTTACACAACTGAAGCTCCAAACTCTCATTTCAAGTGCTCTTATGGGTTTACCAGAAACTTATTCAACCTGTCTCTACTCAGATTTATGGAAAATGTCTGTATCTCAGTGTAGCCATTGCTGGACAGCACTTGGAAACATGCATATCCACTGCTCTCAGCAAACCAACATAGTTTCCTATATGAACACCTCTGTCTTGGCTTGAGTAAGCAGATCCTGGAAGCTGCCAGGGATGCACGGTTTGTCATGTGAACGAGTTGATGTGTATGATGCCAGCTGATCCTGCAGGTCCCGCAGCACAGCACGCACATTGCCTCGACAATAGAACTCCACATCTGAAAAAGTGCAGCTCCTTGAAGGGAGGGGTAAGGACATACAGTACTACCAACTTCACCAGGACACGGGTTATATATTCAAAATATAAAGATGACCATGTGTGGCTCTGGCAGAGAACACTACCTTTCAGCACATAGCCTGAGTCCCTGATGGTCTTATGCTGCGAAGTCCAGATGTGCAGTGTGTGGTAAAACACAGCCACATAGAACTGGTTCACCACCTGCACCACCAGCTGCTGATGGTTGCACTGCCTGAAACAGGATAACACCATCAAATGTGCAGCGTGTGGTAAAACACAGCCACATAGAACTGGTTCACCACCTGCACCACCAGCTGCTGATGGTTGCACTCCCTGAAACAGGATAACACCATCAGATGTGCAGCATGTGGTGACACATAGAACTGGTCAATGCACATAAACAGCTGCTGATGACTGCAATATTATATCTCCAGGTGTGCACTGAACTGGTGGAAAATTTGAAACCTCCAGATTTCCATACTGCACTATGTCACAACAAAACCACTACACCTTGATATATACTGGGTGCCAGAATGTGTGACATAGCAAAACACAGCATTAAAAAAACTGATAATAATCTATCTAGAGTAACTATGGACTAGATATAAACACAAGGTGGGTAGGCAGTGACGCTGTGCTTGCCTCCTATTAGCTTATTATCTGGCTCACCCCACACATTTCACATGATCTCTAGTTTTGCACAAGGAACAATGCAGTTCAGAAATTAAACACATTTAAGCTTGTATAAAGTAGCAGTGTCTGGGTGTGTCACTATATTGGAACACCAACTGATGGAAAACAGGGCATCATAATTGGGCAAGAACCTTCACTGTAATGTAGAAACATTCATTGTGAAAGGGTTTCCATGTGATATTCCTAATTTCAAAATAATATCTGCGTGTAAAGTGCTGGATAGCTGAAACTTTGAATATGATAATACTGTTGAGACACTGTTTCAGCATACATTCAGTATTGCACACAGGGTGAACTGCAGGCCATACGAAAGCACAAGACCACAGCCCACAAAAGGCAGCTATTTTAAGGAAGTGCTGACACTGAAAGAGACTGCCACTACCTGTTGAGCTCGCCATGTCGGAGAGCCTGAAGGGAGATGCGAGTCATGTTCAGGCTCATCACAGCAAGTGGAAAGTTCTGCTGCTCATCCACTGACACTCTATAGATGTCACGAGCCAGTGGAATAAGGTGTGGTGTGTTGCACAGATACAGCAACTGCAGGAGACCCAGCATTCCCACTCCACGCAGGTCTGTCCCAGGGTCTGTGCCCTACAACAAGTACAGCCTACCACAGTCACTCAGAAATCTCACAATCTCAAAAGCTCACACTGCAGGAGGGAAGTGATACTTAATTCCTGTCTGGTGCATAAGGTATTTTAAGTAATTTCCATTATGCATTATGGGCATGCAATAGTTTAAGTTGGTTGAGGCACTCTGCTATAAGCCGGAAGGTCAAGGGTTCAATTCAAGGTGAGGTCACTGGATTTTTCAATTCACCTAATCTTTCCAGCCACACTGTGGGCCTGGGGTCAACTCAGCCTCTAACAGGAATGAGTACCAGAAATCTTCCTGGGGGTGACAGATGGTGTGTAAGGCTACCTCAATGTCATCCATGAGCCCACTATCTAGAAACAGGGGCCTTGACATCTCACAACCCTACAGGCCTCCATAGCTTGTTTGCCTTTTTCTTTACCATTATGCACTACTTTTTATTTTTTTCCCTTAGTAATAAAATTTACATGCCAATCCATCCATTATTCCCATGCTTGCTACACATGATCTGTAAGACTCATTTCCATTACACTTGCAAAACCACTTCATGTCAATGTCCATGTAGAGTAACAGCTTGCCACCTGCACGAAAAACATCTGCTCCACTTAACATTTTCACCTGAATAACAAGGACAGATTCTGCAAGCTGGGTCAACCACATTGTATGTCTCATGGTTTCTCTCTTATTGCTATCAAACATAACTGATGCAGCTGTGACATTATTCCACACTCTGCACAAAAGTTAAGATGAGAAAACTGCAAGTCTGTATTGAAAATGTACCCTCATGTCTGTTCAGCTGCAGTGTTACTGATGGCGGTCTGAAGTTCAACATTTCATTCCAACTAGTTTAAATGTTATTCAAAGGTGACACACAGCTGTGTGTTAATACTATAACATGATACATAACACAGGTCCACCTGAAAGCCGATGTGCTCCCAGTGCGAACCGTAACATGGACAGTCCATCCGTGTGCCTGTCAAACGCTGATACACAGTCTGCAGCATGCGCACGTGCACTGGTTCTGACATGTCCAGCTTGCCTGCAACAATCATTCACACTGCATACCACCTGGGTTCAAAACCTGGTCTCTCAGTTTGGGAGAAGGAAAGTAGTTGATGAACTATCAACAGAATGGAGAAAATTACATAATAGGATCTTCATAATTTGCAGTATTTACCTAATACAGTTGGCACAAAATGAGAAAAGCTGAGGTGCTGAGGACATTTAGCACAGCAGACCCTGCAGATGGTTCTGTCACTGGTATATTACAATTGGTAGCACTCGATTTCTGGACTCTGTATACTGTCTAGTGTACTCCATCTACTATGGGAACAAGGGTGCATCACTGTCAGTTAGTCATCACCAGAAAGTTATTAGATTCTGTTTTAACCTTTAAGTGATGGGACATTTAAATTCCGGTAGTGGTAGCGGGATGGAGTTAATTTAAATGCACGCCACTGTAGAGTAATAAAAATTGTAATCAGTTATTCCCTTTGGCTAATCACCCCCGCTATTTCCTTCTGATGACTGACTGTTCTGGAGAGGCAGAAGTCCCGACGGTTCCGGGAACGCCTGGATTCCTCTCCTCTGAAATTTTGCTGATTGGCTGAACCTAAAATTTGGGTGTTTCTTTCATTTGCATTCAGCCAATCCCTAACCAGATCCATCTTAATTTGGGCCTAAGTACAACACGGTCCCTCTGACAGCTCTTAAATAAATGGAGGTACGCTAACAATCGCTCGGTACGCCCCTTCGAAAATTATTGCGACTCATTTCTGTCAAGTCTCAAATTTTCAAAGACTTGAACCGTCGAAGTTAAGCACTGAAATCCCCAGAAAACACAGCGGGATACATCCTGCTCCGTTCTGGGTTTTCAAGTGACCTGCAGCTTGCTTGTCCCTCAGAAAGACCAGATGTTGTCCTTGGCGTCTGCTGGTGCTGGGGTCAATTCTGTATCATCTATTGTTAACAGTAGTACATTTCATTTCCATGTAGTGCATTGTAATTAACAATGTAAATGAAAAACATTCCTGAGGCCCCTGCATGGTGCGGTTACACCTATGGGCCTCCATGGCCTGTTATAGGAATAGCTTTACCTTTTTTTTTTGTCCCCTTATCTACAGATATACAGTGCGTACAATCAAGTGCGCGCCGCGGCTGCAATTTGCTGTGAATCATACCACCGCAGAACGGATGCAGTCGCGGGGAGGAGTTGCAACTCCTCCCCGCGACTGCGTCCGTTCTGCAGTGGTATGACTCACGGCAAATTGCAGCCGCGGCGCGCACTTGATTGTACGCACTGTACTTTGACATTAGATTTTAAGCATGTAACTTTCTTATACTTTCCAATCATTGATATCATGCTCAACACCCAAGACAGAGGATCACCCCCTGTTGGTTGTATGCAACCATCCACTCGACTCACTCATAGCTATTCGATGTGTCTGGATGTAATTACTTCAGTCTGCAACAAAATTCTGGTGGAGAAAGTGGTATATTTAACAAGTGAGAACAGAGGAGCAGGCTAGAATTAAACTAGACCTTATGGAAATAAGTTGCAAGTATACATACTGGATGAAGTGGTTCAGAATTGTGAACAATGGCAAGCTCTTTTACTAGCAGTGTTGAGTAATGAGGTTGCATTAATGGACAGTAAGTCAGCAGACTGTGGGGATATGGTCCAGTCTGCCCAACTGCATAACATGGGGTCAGCAATGTTTGTTGTCCAGCCTGCACTTAAGAATGTGCACAAACATGCAATTCAAATACTTTAACTTGGGTGACTCAGGAAGACAATGCTACTCACGCTGGGCAATTGCAAACACAAGATCACGCTCTGCTGTGAGATGGTCATGCAACTCTGGTGGGCCAAGCAGACAAGATAGCAGTGCACATAGACCCTGGGGCTCCACGCTGCCTCGTACCTCTGCCTGTAAGAGTCATTTCCATTACAAAGAAATGTATAACTTAAAGCCTCACCCATATGAGGTTCTGAAAACCGAGTCATGCCAGTAGACACATTAATTACATCCAGTACGAAGTAAATGCCACAACCAGATCTTTGCGGCACATTAAGTCTGGACCTGAATAAGTTAAGGGGTTGAGAGTTACAAGTAATCAGTGCACCTGGGTCGTCTTGAACCAACCAATGAATTAATGAACTGAACATATTCACAGGATGGAAAATGTTGGATTCATCATATAACAAAAAATTTACTTTGGACATTAAACATCCTTTCTTGCCTCTCAGGAACAAAAGAGATCCATGACAGGGACTGAGCTACTTATCCCAAGTTGAACTCCTGCAGCAACAGGCTTACCAACTCTACTGATAAATCATGCACTTGGAAGTACATCAGTGCTTGGTGCACAGTGATGTGGGGCATAACTGAGTGCCTAGACTCCAAATTGTTTCTGAACACTGTCTCCACTGTTGCCACATTATCCCATTCTTCCTTTGCTGCTTCATAGGCCAGCCTAAGCAAAAATAATAACAATAATAACAACAAAAATGACAACAAAATTAGTGGAAGCATATAAACTCCCATTAATAATGACCATAAAACAAAATATGGCAGAAATTAATTGAGAATAAATATGATATCATTGACAACTTTACAGTAATGCTCCACATTTACCTCAAAAGAGTGAAATTCATCCACTTCTGTTACATCTTTCGTACAGAGGAGCCTCTATAGACTTGAGAACAGTAAACTTTTCAGAGTGCATGAACCAAGAACAAATACTGAAAATTCTAGAAGGTATTTAAGTCATGTTAAATTTATCCCGTTAAGGACTACACTATGTAGGATTTGAGGTTCTTAGAGCAATGCTTATGAGGAGATACAGATCTTATAGGATATAACACTGTGTAGTCAACTGAAAGTCAATATGCATTTCAGAAGACCATGTTGTGACAATCTTCTGGCTAAAAGAGTAAGGCAAGCAAGAAAGCCAGCATGAACCATGCAGCAAGTTGAGATTGCTTCGTGCTGGTTTTCTTGCTTGTTTTACACTGAAGATGGAGGCTACATATTCCTTCAAAACGTCAGTTGACTTGCAATGGACTACACTACATTATATCACGAGAGATATTACTCTTGTGGTCTATGAGTATACTTTCATACAGTACATCAAAATTCTGGGATTTTTCGCATAGTTACTTGCCCCTTTCAATACCCATCAAATTTCAAACAAGAGTAACAGTAACTATTCTCAAGCTGCTTCACTTTCAGTACTAACGTCAACTTTAATACCGGCAGTTTTCATTATGAAAGGAAAAAGTTATAAAAACCACAATAACAGAACTGGTCATTTAAACATAATGCTATCCTTGGTTGTTTATTTCAACTTTACCCCAATTCTATAAAAACCTTTCAGGATATATTACCTTGCTTTATCAACATCAATATTATGTCTGTGCTTTTCGAAAGCCGATTCCAACAGTTCGTGGCTCCTAACCTCACTTTCAAGTGACATCACAGCAAAGGCGTACATCAGCCTTCACAAGATTTACGTTCCTCGCATTTCAAACAAAAAAAAATTCTCATTTATATCTTCCAGAACGTGAAATTTCACACACAAAAATACAGCATAGATATAAAGAACATAATATCATGCAGCAAGCATATATTTCCAGGACGTAAACAATGCAAAATGCATCACACTAACGCATACTTGACATACTTGACTTCCACCATTTCACCATGAATGACGAATAACAGCAATACATTTTGTACCCAAGTTAGAAATTGTGACTGAAGTTGCTTGCGATTATGTATTTTGTATTGAATTTCCGAACAAAATATGCTAATTGTATAATTTTGAGGGGAGGTGGTCACGGTCGTCGCCTTATTTTACGGGGAAGACATGGATGTTTCAGTAGTGCAGGATATAACCAGCTCCCTCATTAAGCTGAAGAATAATTCGGCCAGGAATTAATTGCCGCTTCATGCCGCGCTAAGTTATTTTTGTGAGTGAAGTTGCTTGCGATTATGTATTACGTATTGAATTTCCGAACAAAATATGCTAATTGTATAATTTTGAGGGGAGGTGCTCACGGCCGTCGCCTTATTTTACTGGGAAGACATGGATGTTTTGGTGGTGCAGGATATAACCAGTTCCCTCATCAAGCTGGAGAATAATTCATTCAGGAATTAATTGCCGATTCATGCTGAGCTCAGTTAGCGCCGTGATCAGAACCACATTTTGTCCCAATCCTGGTCCAAATCTAACTACGTATTCGTTCACTATGTAATTCTTCTAGGTTACTTTAATGTTAAAGGGCACCAGAAAGCTGTACCTGTGCTCATTTACTTATGAGTCACACCATGAAGCGTATGGGGGGAATCTCATGCAGTTCCACCATTCTTGACCTCTGTAGCCGATGGTAGTGCCGTTAGCGTCAAGCCCCGGCCGTTTTGCACCCACAACCCATTCGACAGGAGCCTTTCTGGGCTCCAGTGTAGGTCTGGACACTGGAGAAGAGAAAAATCTCTTGCCCCTGCCAGAAATTAAACCCCAGTCACCCAACCCATAGCTGCTGCTCCACTTTAATGTTACCCTGTAGATTTTGCAAAGGTAAGTGGGATTTAAGGCTTTCAAAGGGACGATTAAACAATTTATGCTTTGTCACCAGACTACACTGAACTGTATCCCAGAATAAAAAACTCTCAACTTCTGTTTATTCCATGAAATAATTCAAAGTTTACTAATACTTTATGATGCATTACTATTACCACTGACTACCCATCACAGACAATTTAACTTATCGTAGATTTGAGATTCTCACAATGGTAGTTATCAAGAGATCCATATTCTACGATATAATGAGATGTAGTCTATTAAGAGCCAACTGACGTTTCAGAGGAATATGTCACCTCCATCTTCAGGACTGAGGAGTAAACCAAACACAAAGCCAGTTTTGCTTGCTTGCTTGGTGCCTGCTTCAGGCTTAGTTTTCTTTCTTGGCTTTCTCTTCAACCATAAAAATGTAATAAACATATTCCTCCAAGATGTCGGTTAACTTTCAGCAGACCACACTGCATCATCATCATCGTCAGATTTCTCTGGGAAACAAATTTCACCAGAGGAATTTAGGTTACTGTGACTGTATGGTGGGAGATGAATGGTGACAGAGGAACACTTCTAAAGATATGAACTGGACAAGTAAATGTGACTGATTCTTAATTGAGTATAAACAATTTATTCTGATATTTAAGCAAGAAACACAAAAAAGAAATGTCTGTGGTTTCCTGCAAGTGAGGAGTCAGTTCAGACTCTTAAGCCAATCCAGGACCCAAGAGGTGACCTCTGATTTACTGAAAGAAACACCAGTCCAGCATCTACACATTATGATCAACAACTCAGCACATGTGTGTGTACATGTGACAAAGTATTGCGCGTAAACAAAGCAGCAGGTCCAATGGGGGACGTCCAGTAACGTCGCAGTGCCTCTCTTATCTCAGCTGGGGTCAGTGGACCTGCAGACTCTATCTGCAACACAAAGTCCACGTCTCTTTAAGCTTCCTGTTTTCCCTTCTCTGCACATTTCTGTTATGACCAGTTATCAATTCCTCTGTCAGCTGCTGATATTCATCGAGGGTCTGCTACTGAGTTACAGGTTCCTGACCGACAGCCTGCAGCTTGGCAAGGAGGGCTGTTCTGTCCTTACCTGTCTGGAGTCCAGAGAATGGCCTGTCGAATAGCCTGTTGCAGGCATGTACCAGCTGAATGGGGCACCTGGACATGCCAAATTATCTTGTCGTACCAGCAATGCAAGGTCCACTATCTGTGCCACTGTCTCGTAAGCCATATAACCTGCAAGTAGATGCACTGAAGGCTTATAATGACTTTTCCCATTAATACCGCACACTGCTATGTTCATGTTTGTCTTCCTAAGGGTTTGAAAAAATGCTAAAACAGAACAAAAACTTTATCATCATTTTGTCTTCATGGATGAAGCATCAAATGTAACTCTTTCAAGGTTTGCAATTTTTGAACTATGACTCTAAAACATGCTGCTTCACATGCTGTAACTTCCCAGCCAATGAGACATCAGGATGTTTAGTGGGAAGAGAATATCAATATTCATTGTACAGACACACCTTGTCAGTTGTTACTCCATAATACTTTTTTTTCCTTGGCACTACAGCCCCGGTGGGCCTAGTGAACTTCTCCGTTCACTTCAGTTTTTCTAGATCTTACACATTCGGTAGGACTCCTTGAGCGGGTGATGAGCTCGTCGCAAGGCCTCTACCTGTACACAAACACAGGAAAAAACACACACACACACACACACACTAAACATCCATGCCCTGAGTGGGATTCGAACCCAAGATCCCGGTTTCCAAGCGAGCGAAGACAGTACATGCCTTAGATCGCTCGTCTACCGTGACCGGCCCATAATACCTTACACACCTTACACAGTGATAATCTTTACCAAATTACCATCACTTATATTTAATGGTAAACTGTACCACATGAAATGTGAAATGATAGTTCTGTGCCTTCATCAGTAAAGCTTCATAATCTGCAATCAGCTCTCATTAGCGCAACAATATCTCTGTGAATGAGACGGGTGGAACAAGTAACACACATGGGAGACACTGTGAAAAGCACATAAAATTCCAGCTGGAGGACCTAAAGGGATGACACCACTTCAAAGACACATGAATAGGAAGGAGGATAATACTGAAAGAGATGTTAAGGAAACTGGATATTTTGGTGTGAACTGAAATTTTCTGGCTCAGGCCAGGGGCCAATGGCAGGCTCTTTTGCAAACAAGACTCAACCTTTGGGTTTCACAAAAGGCACGAACATTCCTTACGGTCTGTATGACTACTGGCTTCTTGAGGACTACTCCAAACAGCTAACAAACACAATTCAGATAAAGTTATATCAATCTTTGTGTCTAATAAACAGTATTTCTGTATGTGTACAGTAGACGCCCTGTTACTCAGAATGAGGTGCACTCATTAGATGACTGCCAGTTGCAGCAGGAAAGCACTTAAAGAATCCATGAATGAATGAATGAATGCATAAGGAGTGGGCCCTTCTGGCATTTGCACTGCGACCTTAAATGATCTATTGTGCTTCCCCTTTTTGTTTAACTCTTTATCAATCCTACAAAGGTAAGACTTTGTTTATGGGGGTGTCATGATAGTCACTTAGTTCCATAAAAAACTGGCCCAGGTGATGAAATCTTAAATAATAAATAGTCCTACCACCCATCTTAATTGGTGTCTGTTTAATTTTAACATATCCTTCATTCTTTTGGCATAGGATCTTAGTTACAGAATGCATATTTTTACACTTTTCCAATAATCTGATATTTCCACTTTCTGTTTCAGAGATGAGAGAACATATTTTCTCTTTAGTTGTTGCACAGGTGTCTTCTTAGAAAACAAAGAAGATTGATGGGCCAGAGATTTCAGATACTCTCAAACACAAATTCAACTAACCTACACTTTAAGCACAAATCACTACTACTGTTATGGTATCTGCACAAGGCAGGATGATAAGCAACATTGCTGGTGGCAGTTAACAAAATACTGCATGGTAGGTGACCACATGCACTTTCCAACTTTGATTTTGAAGTAACTTTAGAAAACAATAAGCTGTTAGATATATCTGCCAACTGCGCAACATTTCACATACACACAACAGTGCACAATGCATTTCCATGCACCAGAGTAGGATTTTTTTTTTTTTCAGATAAACTGTTTTCTGCTCTTTCCCTCTCAAAATGTACTGAATTCTAACTGAATATGCAATTACTTTAATTGACCTGTTGCGTGAAACCATCTCCCTAATTTACATTGCTCCTACTGGTTGATTCACATTCATACAGCAGTCATGAAGTAGCTTGAATGCATAGGGCAGTCTCACCTAGCAAGTCATAAGTAACACTGCTGATTTTTGGAGTCTCACTGTTGCCATCCGACCTCATTCGCAGCCATTCACGAAACTTCAGTGCTGACTTGGGGCTGATGATAAATGAGGCCCTCCGTGCATTCACAAACTCCAGATACCTGAGAACATCTGAGCGCTCATTCCCAATCTTTCAATTAATTACATGAGTAAACTCTATTCTGAATTTGAATGTTATTAAGCATTAAAGTTTTAGCCTCTATATTTTATACTGACAAGAAAAGCAGCCATATCTCAGACACGTCATGGTATACTCAATCTGCTGGTCAACCAAAGAGTCCACAGGTTCTTGCTGAAAGGAACGGCACCCACCTGGTCTCATCCAGGACACGTGATGAACGCTCAGCACGAACATTCCTCTCATACTTCACCACATCAACTGGAATGGCAGACGTATCTGTGAGTTCGCCTGTCTGGTCTATTGACTGCAGAAAGTCCATGCACATGTGGCCCTGTCTCTTTCCACGGGATGACTCTAATGTCAAGTCCCCATCTAATGGCAAGTCCTGAATGTAACTGCTGATACATTTCTTCAGATCTTTCATGGCTGCCATAATAAAAAAACAGAATGAAATTGAGCCTAAATATTACCTTCTGACTTCCTTTCAAGTTTTGTATTTAGAGTTGGTAATTGCTAAAACTGTACATGGAACAATGCTCAGCCCTTCTAGACAGTAACATCAATATATTTATTGAAACCATGGACATAATAATTAATGAGTTACTAAATAAAGGCAAGAAAATT